CCTCACGCCTGGAAATGCAAGTCTATGTCTTCTGTGGCGGAAGCCTGCTGTCTCCCCCCCCCCACACACACACACAACTGGCGCTGCAGCCGTAGCTATTACATCACTCCCTTTTTGTTGCTGAGTTTGCAAGCTAGCTGAGAGAGTTCAAGCACCTTTCAACCACCCCTGAACTCGGTTTGCTCAAAGTTACTTTAATCTTGGATAGCTACAGAAGCTTACAGAAAAGTTAGTTTAACTGCTTTTTACTAGAGGTTAAGAGTTGAAATTGGCCTTCTTATCTTTCTAGATCAGGTGAAACATGTGCACATGCGGATTGGTTTATTTGCACATGTTGATTATCCCGTATTTTGTGATGCACCAATCAGTTATCTCGATAATAATCACATGGTTATGATAGAACAGATTTAGAAAAATGATCAGAAGAAGACTCGGTGAGGTTTCTGGGTATGTAACTTGGGCTTTTTGATCATTCTTAAAAGCAGCGAGACAAAAAGCTGAAACCTGGTTTGCTTTTTAAACTATTACTCTTTATAATGTGATTGAGCAATATGAGGAACTTTGATAATTTTAGCACTTATTTTCACAGTAATTGCAGGATTAACGTTTCCATGCCTGCATTTTCTGCTGTCTTGCATAATAAAGGGAATGAATTCTTTTCTCAATAAAAGAAATACGCCTCTACAGGTTTTCAGTTTGCTTTGCTGGTTATAGTTCAAAGAACTGAACTCACACACACACACACCCCACACAACTCTTATGCATTATCAGATTTAAAGGCTAATAATCATCCTGATAAACAATTAGGCCTGGCGGGATCTGGTCCACGGGGTCGCAAAGAGTCGGACTCAACTGTGCGACTGAACAACAACAACAACAAATCACCCTTTAATAGATAAATCCTGGAGAACTCACCCCCTAAACAGTCTGCATAGGCAAAACCTTTTGAAAGTGTTTAGTCCAAATTCTCTAAAAGGACACAGGAGCAAAGCTCTTGCTACCGCATGAAGCCCAAGAGTATAACCTAATAAAAGCTGATTTTTGCTCCATTCATTCCAATGGCCCAGCCAGTCCAACTCTTGTGTCACACAGTGGCCAAAAACACCAGGCGCCCTCAGGAGGTCCGGCTGTGGGGCCAGGACACTTGAAGCCCTCCCACTGTTGCCCCCCCCCAAAAATACAGTGCATCCCTTGCCCCAGACGGAGCGTTCCTATCTATACCTGGTGGCTCATAGCCACTGATGGACCTCTGCTCCATATGCTTATCTAATTCCCTCTTGCTTGTAGCTGCTGCCACCTCCACTGATGGACCTCTGGTCCAGATGTTTATTGAATTCCCTCTTGAAGCCATCCATGCTTTTAGCCGCCACCACTTCCTGTGGCAGTGAATTCCATGTGTTAATCACTCTTTGGGTGATGAAGGACTTCCTTTTATCCTTTTTAACCCAACTGCTCAGCAATTTCATTGAGTGCCCACGAGTTCTTGTATGGTGAGAAAGGGAGAAAAGGACTTCTTTCTCTGCCTGCTCTATCCCATGCATAATCATATAAACCTCGATCATGTCACTCCCTCAGCCGTCGTTTCTCCAAGCTAAAGAGCCCAAGTGTTTTAACTAGTCTTCATAGGGAAAGTGTTCCAACCCTTTTCTCATCCTAGTTGCCCTTTTCTGCACTTTTCCCAATGCTGTAATATCCTTTTGGAGGTGTGGTGACCAGAACTGTACACAGTACTCCAAATGAGGTCGCACCATCGATTTGTACAGGGGCATTATGATACTGGCTGATTTGTTTTCAATTCCCTTCCTAATGATCCCACCTCCCTCGGCCACTTCCTCCTCCATCACATCTTAGAGCGGAAGGTTTTTGGGCAGAGACCTGCTGTCTGGTGCTTTCAGAGGTGCCGTGCCCAACAATGGTTACCCGTTTCCTCTGCAAACTCCCCACAAACTATTTCCCCTGCCCGGCCCCTTCCCCTAATTCTTCTTTCCAACAGGCGACCGCAGCAAGCTGGAGGCAGGAGGTGGGGCAATATACGGCCGACAGACCTACCTTTGGCCGCCTGCTGCTCCAGGATCTTCTTGGTCCTGGGCGTGGTGCCTTTGGGCATGTGGACGATGTACTTCCCTTCCATCTCGGCCGTGACCCGCCGGCGCTTCACTGGGGCTGCAGCGGGAGTCTCGTCTGCTGTGCTGCACAGAGCTGGTGCAAGGAGAGGGCAGAAGCGAGGAGGTTTGGCTTGGCAAGAGGGCAAACGACCCTCCTGGCTCTGATGCTGGCCTTCCATCTGCCGAGGCCGTCCGGGAGCCTGCAACCTTATCCGCGCTGGGGACTCTGTGCCCCTTCTCACCCCACTGCGAGAGATGGGGAGAAGTAGGGCACAGCAGCAGGCAGGCCCGCTGGGGATGGAAGGGGAACACTGACTGCCTCACCGCCCCCCCCAAAGTGCTCCAGCCCATCGCCCCCCTCCCCGCAATGATTCAAGAAGGGCACCCTCCCGCCCGAAGCAGAAAAGGAAGTGTTGTGGATTTTAACCACTAGGGGGAAGCAGAGAGCTGTGCTCTGTAGCACTTGAAGCCGGAGGGTTTTTCACACATTTCCCAGATTTCTACGGAACCTTCAAATATGTCAATTACAAGTTTTTTTGTTCAAAAAGCCCTTTGTTTTTTGAAGGGGAAGAAATGGATTGGAGCATCTCCTCTGGCTCTCCTGATTCCGTGGAAGGTCAGAGATGGCCACCGCGCACCTTTTCTCCTTCTCACCTCAGCACCCCTGAACACCACATTTCCCCCACTGCCACGCCAAGGAACAGCTCTGCCCCCAGTCAAAAAAAGCACAGCGCAACTCTACATTCAACTCAGCAATGCCCCTTCCCACCCCCAGAAAGTTTTCTTCTCGTATTGACATTTTATAGAATAAAAGATTGGATTTATACCCCGCACCCTTCACTCAGAGCGGCTTACGATCTCCTTTCCCTTCCCCTCCCCACAACAGGCACCCTGTGAGGCAGGTGGGGCCGAGAGAGCTCTTTCAAGGACTGCCCTTGAGAGAACAGCTCTGAGAGAACTTGTGACTGACCCGAGGTCACACCAGCAGCTGCATGTGGAGGAGGAGTGGGGGATCAAACCCAGTGCTCCCAGATTAGAGTCCAACACTCTTAACCACAACACCAAACTGGCAGGGAAACTGAGGCTCGCCTAGAGTCCTATGAGTATATGGGCCTTGGACGAGTGCTTCAATCCCTCCCTTTTCCCAAGCTTCACCATCTTTAAGGGGGCAGCCGAGAGAACTGACATGACACGATCGAGGTTTATGCATGGGACACAGCAGGTAGAGAAAGAAGCCCTTTTCTCACTTTCTCACAAGACAAGAACTCCTTGTGGGCACTCCATGAAATTGCTGAGCAGTCGGGTTAGAACAGATAAAAGGAAGTCCTTCTTCACCCAAAGAATGATTAACACATGGAATTCACTGCCACAGGAGGTGGCGGCAGCTACAAGCATGGACGGCTTCAAAAGGGAATTCGATAAACATCTGGACCAGAGGTCCATCAGTGGCTATTAGCCACAAGGTATAGATAGGAACACTCGGTCTGGGGCAACGGATGCTCTGTCTTCTTGCTGCTTGGGGGAGGGTAACAGTGGGAGGGCTTCTGGAGTTCTGACCCCACTGGTGGACCTCCTGATGGCACCTGCTCTTTTTGGCCACTGTGTGACACAGAGTGCTGGACTGGATGGGCCACTGGCCTGATCCAACACTGGCGTCTTTTATGTTCTCTTATGTCTGGGGCAAGGAATGCTCTGTATTCTTGGTGCTTGGGGGGGGGGGAAGAGGGGGAG